TCCGAACTATCACGGTTTTGACGCATCACCATAGAATATATTTTTTTTACAAATCACCATATGAATTATACGGGTTTGTCAATATGTCCCTAAACTAGATATAAAAGTGGTTTAGGGAGCACATTGTCAAATCCGTGATAATTCATGTGGTGGTTTGTAAAAGTATTTAGGGGGCACATATGGTGACCAAACAGCTTTTTCAGTCGAAACTACTTTTATATCTGGTTTAGGGGGCACATTGACAAACCCGTATAGTTCATATGGTGGTTTGTAAAAAAAAAATAGTTTATATGGTGATGCGCCAAAACCGTGATAGTTCGGATGGGAAAAACCTTTTTTTATTTAAAAAATAATACTAATAATAATACTAAAAAATAATAATAATACTATAATAGTAATAATTTACTAACGCTTTTATAATATATTGTACAATACCAATGATTTTTTAACAGACATATAAGAAGTTTTTGGTCAATTAAAAAAAATATCAAATCGAACAAAATGCAAACTAATTGTCTCTAGCATTTTGTATTATTATTTAGTTAATATATAAATTAAATAATAAAATGTAAGAGTAGTATATGATAATTAAAAAAAAAAGAAAAACTAAAATAATTTATAGTAATTAATCCTAATAGTCAAAACAAACTTGAACACGTGTCAATACTAAACACAAATTTATGTCAGATAAGCTTATGAAGCATATGAACTTGCCATTTAGGCTCAACGCATCTAGGAAATTATATAGAAGTGCATTTCTTTTTTCAAAAATATGTATACATTCACTATAAAATGTTGTCAGTTAAGAATAAATGTGAACAAAAGTATAAAATTTATTGGTATAAATTTATATTTTTATTTACATAGTATGACAAATAAGCAGCTTGCTTAATGGTTGCATCGTCTCGTATAGGGCTGCAAACGAGCCATGCTGAATCGTGCATTGACCATATTGAGCAAGATTGATTTTTTTTTTGTTAGCTGCTCGAGCTCGACTCGTCGAGCTTGATTTATGAGGCTATAGTTTGACTCGATAAAAAATATATATTTGCTCGAGCTCGGCTCGAGTTCATTTCAAAAATTTTCAAGCAATTTGTAAAATTACCATTAAGTACATATATTAATATTATGATTCATGTATATAGAAGGGGTATTTTACTAATTTAACATATATTTCGAACCCCTCAACAATGTAAAATATGAGATTGAGCTCGACTCGAGTTCGTGCTCCTCAACTCGAATTTAGTCAAACTCGAGCTCGAGCGGAGCTTTGAGCTCGCGAACCGCTCGATTTGTGTGAAGCCCTAGTCTCCAACATGATTTTTTTTTTTTTAATATTTGTGCCATTTATTAATAAATCCTACCTTGCATGGGCACCGAAAATTGTCTCACTTATTAATTAATCCTACCTAGACATGGCTACGGGTCACCCGGCCCGGACCCAGCACGGAACCGGCACGGACTCAGCCCGGTCAAACCCGTTGACCACGAGTCGAGACCCGGCACGAAGTTCAAACAGGCCGGTCAAGGGTCATGTTTTTTACGACCTTGACCCGGCGGGCCGACGGGTCCGTTTCGGCACGAAAAAATACATTGCTTTTGAATCTTTTTTTATTTTTTTTTATGTGGCGGGGTCCAAACCCGGATCGGGCCCGGCCCGGCTCGTCCCGGCCCGCCGGGTCATGAACCCAACACGACCCTAGGTCCGTGCCATTTCAGGGTCGTCGAAACCCAACCCAGTAGCCCGGCGGGCACGACCCGCTCCAGTTTTTGACCATGTCTAATCCTACCTTGTATGGGCAACATCAGTCTAGTACCACAAAAAAAACAATCTAGTATTTGTGTCATAAAGTCAATATTAATATATTTAAATTTTAGGCTATGACCCTTTACCTTCTTGTGAAGGCCTTAGTCTTAATTGGTAGTAACAATTTGGAATTTGGACAGAAGATACCTTAATAAAAAAAAAAAAAGTTGTTAATCATACCCTACTTTTGTTTTGTTTTGTTGACAGTAATTTACACATGTTTATTTTATTATGTAACATTCATTTTAAAAATGTCTTGGCACACCTTGCTAGGTGTGTCAAGGCACACCTAAGTATTTGCGCTTCATAAATGGCCAAGTGCATTGTTTGTTAGCTGTAATAACCAATAAGTGCAGGAAATTACTGTCAACTAACAACTAATGACTATATCAATGCTGCAACATTATAAATGCCAAGTGCATTATTTGTTAGCTGTAATAACTAATAAGTATAGCAAATTACATAACCAACAAGTAATGACTATTATATTATTATTGCTAACAAAATTTTTATGGAGTCATCCATCACTTAATATATTGTTGGCACTTGTCTAAATTGTATTTATTGTAAGACACGTATCAATACACTATTTGTGAATAAGTGTGGATGACTCCATAAGTCGAGTCATCTAATGGCTCCATATATAGCAAAATAGTTAGTGTTGAATCAACTATTAATTTTTGTATGGTTCAGTTTAATCGTTAAACGATTTGATTTGTTATAATTTTTTTTAACAAGAATGTATACTACTTATCTATGAAATATCGCATTTTTATTTATTCTGCTTATTAGAGTGACAATTAAGTTTGAAATTAGACATATATAAAAAAGTATGTCTACCCAACCATTAGACTTGTTTAACAACTATTCACGTGTTTAATTTTTTAAAGGGATAATTGCTATTTAAGTCTTTATCTTTTCGCGTTTGACAATTTAATCCAAACTTTTAGATTATTGCAATATAATCATGACTTTGACTTACTTTTGCAAAACGAACTTAATTTTCGTGGGAGATTCAAAAAACGCCAGCGTGTCCGGCTGCTTATATCCACGTTGGATTTTTCAGTTTGCTGAGTAGGAAAACATAAAATACATAGAATTAGAAAAATTTAAGATTTAATTGTACAGTCATCCCCAAAATTAAACGTGATAAAAAAAATTTCAAATCCTTAAACCCTACATCTCCACCTTAATGACAACCAGAATTAAGGTTAATTAGCATTGTTGAATGTTTGACTCATTGGGCTATAATTTTTGTGACTGCCCTGGGTAATGTTGATTGATATATTGGTTGATTTGTGTTTTTACTTTGTATTAATTGTGTTGCCTAATCATGATATTGTTGTGCTTGTTCATTATTTGATTATGGCTTTGACTAATTGGTTACATTAGTCAAACAGACAAGGTATGGGATGTATATTCTAGTACTTTTTTTATTAGTGAAGTTTTTAGAAAAAAAATATTTCAAACGACGTAATGCATCTTGGGTCGCTACGGAAATAGTCTCCTTGTATAATTACAAGGGTAAGGTCCGCGCACAACTGACCCCATACCCCAGTCAGTTGGGAATATACTGGGTATGTAGATGTTGATGTTGACGTATATTCAATTAGTTGCTGCTGTTGAATTAACTCTCGATGTATCGGATTTGGGGTTGAAATTAACTCTTCCTTGAAGCTATGGATAAATAATGTTGTTTGATTGTGTAATCCTTTTGTATTGTGTCTGTTTCCGTGGATGATGGATTGGAATTCCCAATTTTGGTTGTTCGAAAATCAAAAACTTTGCCATGTCTTGTTCTTATTGTTACGTATGTTTGATGTGTTGTGATGTTTGATTGATGGTTTACTGGAAATTTTTATTGCCAAGTGAGCCTCTGCATGACTATGACTATTATCCTGGTGATGACGACGACGACGACCAAGTGTACTATCCTGGTGATGATGACGACGACCAAGTGTATAAGGAGCGGTCGGCAGGTGAAGTGGACTATCATCTATTTTCTCCTCTTGACGTGATACTTAAAATAGTATGCTCATTACGTTTATTAGTATTGACGTGGGATTTTATCGTCCATTTCTTAATTCTACTGAATGTCCTTGTATGTTCTTAAAAGAACATCCCGAACTCATCCCATCAGCAAAAGAACTTCTGGACGCCCTTCTGCTTGATGAAACCACCAAGCATGCTGAAAAAGCAATCGAGCTTTTGAAAAACCAACACGTTCGCCAAGGTTTCGCGAGAATTTTTCATGAGGGTCACAGTCTTTTCGGGGCTGTACACGTGCTGGCGCAGATAGATGATGTGCTGGAGAGCACTACGTTTGCTAATAGGGTGGCTTTTATTAGACGAGATCCCTTGTTGGGTGAATTTGTCTTGGGCAAAGAGGACGTGGATATAATGAGGTTGGTTTCTCTCTATATAATATTCTATTCACATGAGAAGTAGTTTTCTACAAATTAATTGGTCATTGTGGATGCTCAGACAGACTCGTTATTATGATGCTTCTTTTACATGTTGATTGTTGCTGTTAGGTTGTGAATAGAATAACCAAAGTGCTTGGACTCGATAATATGTTGATTTAGCTACAATTTTCACAGTTTATATCGATGTGTGGATGGAAGCATGTATAGTCCTGATTACGTGTTTTCTTTGATTTGTGAAGGGGAGCCTTTTTCATTTTGGTCGGGTACTGGATTGATCGAAGACTGAAAAGATGGCTTTATAGACTGTCTAGAAACCTCAGTATGTAACTTGCATGAAAAAATTATTCCCAAAAGATTATGTCTTTGATTTTGCCTTTGATCAATGTTCGGAATTGCAGTCTTGTCTCTAGTATTTCTCGTTATTATTTCTTATCGTGGTGCGTGCAGTCCTCCCAAAATCGCAGCAGTACACAAATCCGTCGCCGTTTTAGGGCTACAAACAAACAAGATGTCTCAGATGGAGTTAGCTTGGCAATTTATGGTTTTTGTGTTGTGTAGTTGTGCATGCCAACTCTTTGTTCTGTTCTGTTCTGCATTACCAATTGCTGGATATTCTGAATCCTTATGGTAACTATATATTCATGAAATCATCCTTCAGCTGATTATTACACTGTACACGTTATTTTTCTTCCCATATTATAAGAATGCCAATCGAGACACTAAAGTTTCGTTTCTTTTTTACTAAAATCATTCATAATAACAACTAATCACTCGATTACAATTTCTTGTAAGCCTCCCCTGAGGCTAGTAGCATCGAGCTGCCCTTCTTCGCTGTAGCTTTCGCAACAATTTTTATGCGTAGCGGCCAAACACGGCTTAGTTACATGTTCTTCTTCTTCACTCTTCGAATTTTTTTCCCGGTTTATTGATTCTTGCCTGCAACAGTTCACATCCCGTTTACCTTCCTCCCGACCACCCGTGCATCGATATTTCGAGCGCTTCTCGTCTGATGTTAATGCCAGCTCATCCGACACGTGGACATCGTGATGATGATGATGGTGGTGGTGGTGGTGATAATGATCATGCGAATGACGATGCATATCGTTAACGTGTTGCTCATGTCTTTTAGTCGAGCATTTCTTTCGACCCTTCGAACGGCAACATTTTTCCCGCCTTCCTCTCAACAACAGCATGCTGTTAAAAATGACCAACAAACACGTCCCAACATCTGCCAGCACAGCAGCCCAGACGAGCGGGTGGCCCGCCACGGCCAGGCCCAATATCGCGGCCTTAGTCGAGACGGATATTATCACATTCTCGATGATCTTGACACGGACCCTCTTAGCCAGTCGGGTAGCTTCTGGAATCTTCTGGATATCGTTCGACATGAGGACAATATCCCCTGACTCGGCTGCAAGGGCCGAGCCCGAAACTCCCATCGAGATTCCGACATGGGCCGTGGCCAGGGCCGGCCCATCATTCAGCCCGTCACCCACCATTGCAGTCGGGCTTTCAGTTTGTAGGCTTTTGATGATTCTTGATTTGTCCTCGGGGAGAAGCTCGGCATGGATCGCGTCTAACGAGCCTCCTAACTGATGGATAAAAAAAAAAGCTATTTTGGTAAAATACAATATGGGTTCGAATCGTTTTTTTTAGTATCATTTTACCTGCTCTTGTGCACGTTTGGCCGCTCCATGACAATCTCCGGTTAGCAATACGATTTTGATGCCTAATGACTTGAGCTCTTGAATGGCTTCTTTTGCTCCCGTTCGGCATATATCAGATAAACAGAAAATGCCGGCTAGAGACGAGCCCAAGAAGACATAACCGACCGACTTTCCTTCTAAATCGAGACCTTCGAATCTTGGAACTGAGTGTCAATGCAGAGATAGTGTTAGTAATTGCTAAAGGCTAGAAAGATTTTTGGTCTAACTAAAGTTTTAACAGACTTTATTCATTGTTTGCAAATATGTGTTTTCACCTGCAGTACACCCAGCTCTCGAGGCGATTTTCGAGTTCCCGATATATATTTCCTTATCGTCGATATTTCCACAAATCCCTTCACCGGGGAAGTTTTGAAAATTTTCAACTTTATCGAGCATTGGCTCGACTCCACGCGACCTTGCAAACTCGACTAGAGCGTCCGCCATTGGATGACTCGATTTGCATTCTATGCTAGAGATCCTGTCCGCGCAAAAAATAAATATTAACACAGAAAAAAGTTAATAATCATTTCGTGATTTATCTAGGGATATTTTCAAGTCGAAATTACCAATATAACAGCGAATTTAAGTCGATATCCTTATCGTGCAAAGATTTGAAGTCGGTTACGACAAATTCTCCTCTTGTTACAGTCCCGGTTTTGTCCAAAGCCACAATCTTTATCCGAGCTAGAGTCTCGAGATGTTCGGCTCCTTTGAACAGCACGCCAAAAGTGGCTGCTTTTGATAAGGCACAGAACATGGCAACTGGAGTCGAGAGAAGGAGAGCGCACGGGCACCCGCTCACTAAAACGACGAGCGCCAAGTGGAACCATTCTTTCTTATTCTTGACTCGGAAAACAAAAGGCACAATGGCTAAGAAAACCGATACCAAGACTATAGCTGTAAAAGAAGTTAAAAGCTCAAAAATCAGCATTCAAATCGAACACCACAAGAAAAAACAGAGAAATGAATGAAAAAAAATTCAACAAACAAACCGGGTGTGTAGTACTTTGCACATTTGTCCATAAACCTCTGAGTTCTCGATTTCTTGTTCTGAGCTTCCTCCACGATCTTCGCCATTCGAGCCACCACGCAGTCTTCTGACATAGCTGTGGTTTTCACACTTATGTAACCTGGAAAAACGAGTAAACCTCTTCGTAACTAAACTAGGATGATATTTCCCCTTTTTTTTATTATTTATTTATTTTTTTACCGTTGAGATTGATAGTGCTGGCCCAAACGGTCGAGTCCTTCTGCTTGGGCACGGGAAAAGATTCGCCTGTTAGGATTTTCTCGTCGACCTCACAGTTACCTTCCACAACAATACCATCGATCGGGATAGTTTCACCGGGTTTTACGGCTATAATGGTGTTCAATTTCACCTCATCCGCATTAATTTCTTCACCTGTCTCGACTAGGACAGCCTTTTGAGGAACTACACTAATTAAGGATGACATAACAGCATTCGCCTGCGTGTATTATGAAAAAAGTTCGCCTTGTGAGAAATGCAATTTTTACTTTTTACCATAGAAAGCGTAGTTTTGCTACACGTAAACTCGTTTTTACCTTATGGCTTGCCCTCGACTCGAGCCACTCGGATATCGTAAACAGAAAGACAATAGTGGCAGCTTCCCAGTAGTCGTGAAGGGCAAGTGAACCAGAAACTGCCGAACAATTTTATATAAATCGTTAGCGATGAGTAGCAACATATAACTATAACGAAAAATATCGAATTAAATTTAGTCGAAACCAAAAAAAAAATCCTAATCAATTTAGCTCAAGGACCTAAAATGAATCAGATTTATCACTTGATCACATTAAAGATTTAACAGAAAACAGAGTAGTTAGCTAGCAAATCTTTAATAAATATAAATTAATTCACACAGAACATAAAAGCCACAACATTAACAACTATATATATACCAGTAATCAAAACAAGGATGTTGATATCAAGCCTGAGATTCCTAACTGCTGCAAAAGCCTTTAGTATAATTGGCGGGATCCCGACCAAAACCGAGCCCAAAGCCAACCACTTAAGTGGGCCGT